AAATAATTAAAAAATTTAAAAAAAAAAAGAAAGAAATAGGAGTTGGCTGGTCAACTTAAGCATGTTACCGACAAGGGGGTATTGGGTTATTTTCTGGTGGGAGTAGCATGTCACTAAAGCAGGCCTTTTGATATATTAAAAAAAATTTTTTTAAAAAGCAAAAAAAAAAGAAAAAAAAATTTTCACTTGTTTTGTTACCATTGTTGAATATACACAGCAAGACATACACCCAGTCAACAGTTTAGTGACATTTAGTGACATTGATTATATTCTTTAAATTGCACAACTACTCTAGCTTTTCTTTTCTAACATAAATTCGCTGATCCTTTGGGTTCCTATCTAAGCCTTCCAGGTGTTGTTGCTGACTTGACCCTATAGAGACCATCAGGTTGTTGGGGCCAACAGGTCAGATAGTGCTTGAAAAAGCATAATGTTCAAGGCAGACATTTTTACTAGTTAAACTAAGCTATTGTTTGGCTTTATGAAGACTTAACAGGATATTTTGTGTGTGTGTGGTTTTCCAGAGTTGGCTTTATTTTGCAGTACAGAAATCATTTGGAGCCATTCTGAGAGAGGCATCACTAAAGCTTAGGCTCTGTCAAATCAATACTGCATTGCAGCTTGGTCCAGTGAAGAAGCCACCCCTGGGATACAAAGATGCTTCAACTGTTCACCTGCTTGATGATAAGTTCCTTTACCCTTTTCTCTCATCAGTTTTATTAGATTAAAACTATATGGAGCTATTATTAGTCAGACAAGCTTCCCCCAAATGACCCCCTAAATCAGGAGTTTGGTTAGAATTCTGTGCCCACATAGACCAAACTTGTGGCTAAGCAGTTTGGGCACTGTCTTAATACCTTAACAGGATATTTTTAATTTAAGGTTTAAAGATTATCTTAGGGCAATAGTTTCAGGCTTATTCAACCTTTCCGTTTCAGGAAGCCTGTGGAGTCTATGAGAATTTGAAATTCTGTTCTTTATTTTTTCCCTTTCAATCAGTATTCTTCTCTAGGATCTTTGATCAAGATATTCAATAATGACATCTAGGCACCACTCAGTTTTTCTGGTTTTATGACGAAAGAGGTAGTCATTCGTGGAGACAATTAGCCATACATTCCTTAACCTCCTTCTCAACCCTCCTTCCTCTGTTGTTCTGGGTGAATAGAGAACAACTGACATGCCTTGAACGAATGTTTGCAAGCTTTTAAGAGCACAGGCACTACATAAAGACCTGGGAAGCATTAAACATGTTATTAAGCCAGTTAACTGGGATGTCCCACCAAACCATGACTCTAAACCTCTAAACCAAGAAACCAATACCATGAAGTGTGTAGCTGTATATAAGCAACCTCAGCACCTACTCTTTTTTAAAAACCATTGTTTTATCTGTCTTATCTATACTGATATACCTCTCTATATCTGCTGACAACTTGGACTTATTAGCCTTCCCCAAATGCCTCACTCTTGAGGTCTAATCTACAGAACTGGGACTTGCCAGGTTCTACAAGCAGTAAACCATTTCCTTGTAATATATTCTCTCTCACTCTCTCTCTCTAAACATATACCAAAGATATCATTGCTCATGTGTTGATGTTAGATGGATCCTGACTGAACAAAGAGAATGTAAGAAGTATGTCTATCTGTATTTCTTTAGTGACTATTTATTATTATTTATTATTATTATTAAAAGGTGAAGGATATTGGTTAGTCCTGCGACTAAATTGGGCAGATTCAGAACACATTTTGAGAATATCACCAGCAGCAAAGAAGCAGCAAGAGAGTATCTTGAAAAGATGGGGTGAAATAGGTATGGGGGGAGAAGAGAAAGATAACGAAGCACATCCTTCAGAGCCAGAAATTCTTTTTTTGTAAATTTATTAATTTCAATGAACATTTACAGAGATTTTTGGATTTCCATTCATTCATTTTG